CTGTCGTTATGACACAGTATGCTGTCAAGAGGAAGCAATCTCAAGAGAGATCAGAACTGGTTCTTCTACGTTTTTAGGGTACAATGTTAGAATGTCTATATTTAAAGTAACCTGCTCTTCTTCTAACCATCATCAACAGCAAAAAGGGGAAAGAACCATTGAATCCAAATCCATGAGCAATATTGTTTGCTTTGTTTTGTTTTTGCAGGCCATCCAAGATTCTATAACCAACTATATGCTGGGATGGATCATTATTCTCTTGTAGCCCGCTTTATCACGGAAGCCCTCAATCCAAGCATGTGAGTAGTTTTTGGAATGCTTCTATTGCATAGTTCTATTCTTGCATAGTCGATTATAGTGAATATGCTCCTTTTTTACTTAGTTTTATTTTTTCTTTTTTTGTTTGGTTTCCCCAAAGTACCCCAGCAAGAACAAGAATGTAGGGTGATTCCTATTTGGTCATCTTCTATTTCCACTTATGTTGACAGCTGGGTTATGCATAAGGATTTTATAGTGTTAAGCATTCTATTGATTTCTCTTTTCCTTGGTCCAGAGATTGTTTGGACATTCAGATATCTTCTATCAAACATTGTCACAGCTCTAGGGAGTTTGTTTTGCTATTTCTGAGTATTTTTAAGTATATGGATCCACTGGAAACAATATTAACCTACTGTGCAGGGCGAGAAACTGACCACACCCAGTAGATCACTGGTTTTAAACCCTACCCAATATTCCGTATTGGCTACAATGGGGAGTAAAATTGGGCAGAGTGTATAACCAATATTGCAGCCTATCCCGTCAATTTCTCAACAAACAGGATAGATAAAAATTGCACCTATTCCTCATGATTTTTACCCACAACTGAGGTAAAAATGGCATCCAGCAAGTCAAAAAGAATGATGGAACAATGTAGGAACTTAAAGAGATGTTAGATAATTGGAGACAGTGCACAAAGTTCCAATATAAAACTCACTATGAGTACAAAATGTAATACTTGTTGATAAGTAACAAGTGTAATGCTCAGCCATTCAGTGCTACCTATAATACTTCATACTTTGTGCAATCTCAACGTAAGTGTGACAGATGTGTGATTCTTGCATAGATGTTTAGAATTCCTGGAGCCAATGTTATAGACTGGTGTGTACACTATAGCCTCTGCCTGGATTAGCAAATATATTTTTGTCTTCTGGCTGAAATGCTTCCCAAAATATCAACAGTATTGCAGGGGTTTCCAGTTCCACTTGAATACATTAACTAGCAACTAATAATAGCAAAGTTTGTCCTCGTGCACAGTCAGCGTTTCAAACACACTCCTTCATTCAAACTATAGAGCGCTTGTTGAATGATAACCAGCGGGGAAGATCTTTGGCACGATCTCTTAGATCATAGAGTCCCTACAGTGTGAAACAGGCCCTTCGGCCCAACAAGTCCACACCGACCCTCACAGCATCCCACCCAGACCCATCCCCCTATAATCTACACATCCCTGAACACTATGGGCAATTTAGCATAGCCAATTCACCTAACCTGCACATCTTTGGACTGTGGGAGGAAACCGCAGCACCTGGAGGAAACCCACGCAGACACGGGGAGAATGTGCAAACTCCACACAGACAGTCACTCAAGGGTGGAATCAAACCCGGGTCCCTGGAGCTGTGAAGCAGCAGTGCTAACCACTGAACCACCGTGCCACCCCATAGGTTAGTAAACCTGTGGCTACAGGAGCAAGTCAGAAGCTTGGAATTCAGCAGTGAATAATTTACCCCTAACTCCCCAATGCCTGTCCACCATCTACAAGGCACACGTCAGGAATGTGATAGTGCAATCTCTACTTATCTGGGTGACTGTAGACCCACAACACTTAAGGAGCTTGACATAATGTATGACAGAGTAGCCCACTTGATTGGTACACCATCTGCCATCTTAAACATTCACTCCTTCTGTTACAAATGCACAGTTGCAGCAGTGGATACCATCTACAGAACTAATTGCACCAACTCATCAACGATCCTTTAACTGCAACCTGTAGACCTGCAATTGCTATCATTTAGTAGGATAAAGGACAATGGATGCATGGGAACATTGGCATCTACAAGTTACTCTCCAAGTCTCACACCATTCTGACTTGGAGCTATATCATTGTTCCTTCACTGTGTCACTGGTTCAAAATCCTGGGATTCCATTTCTAGCAGCACTGTGGGTGTCCTTACACTCCAAGTGGTTCAAGCAAGTAGCACACAGCCACCTTTCTTGAGAACAGGCAACAATTGCTGGCTTAGCCAGGTATGCACATATCTTGTCAATGAATACAAAAACTGAAATGCTGAGTGTTCAAAGACATAGAAATGTAACTATTGTTCAGGACTAACACATATCTCAAAGGCAATTGAGTTGAAAATTAAGGATGCATGGTTTTAGTGTGAAGTTGTAAAAAAGTATAGTGTATCCTGTGTGCCAAAAACATGATTCCCTACTGTACCTCATTAAACATCTTCAGCAATAAGGAGTACCATCCAGGTTTTCTGTGCTGATACCCCTGGTCTGACAATTGTTGCTTAACTTACGCAATGCAGATCACAGAAAGAAGAAGCTTGATCGAAGCTGATTGGTTCCAATCTTCCATTTCCAATGGTTAGCAGCCACTGCAAAAAACATTATCAGCCTTCTATAGGTTTCCCAAATGTCTCAATTTGAGGAAACTCCATTGGTACATCAATATTTATCATTATAGTGATTGTTTTTAAAAGATGGGTACTGTAAACATGTGATTGGACTTAACAATATTCTGAACACTTTTCCAAAGTCAATGACATCCAGACAATCAACACTCAGCTACCACCTGACGATCTGGAATGTTAAGTGCTGTGTTACTGTCTGGCAAAGAGAGTATTATCTCCATGAAAAATAACCCTTGGACAATAGAATTGCAAATTACACGCTTTCAATAAGGTATATTGAGAGGAAAGTTTAGAGTGATGTTAGCCGAACACAGGTAAATGGGAAATGAAAGAACTGCAGATGCTGTAAATCGGGAACAAAAACAGAAGTTGCTAGGAAAGTTTAGGAGGTCTGGCAGCATCTGTGAAGAAAAAAATCAGAGTTAACGTTTCAGGTCCAGTGACCCTTCTTCAGAACTGATGTTTGCTGGGAAAACTTTGGTTTATATTGCAGAAAATAGGGAGGGGATGGGGTAAGGAGTAAATGATAGGATAAAGGATAGAGCCTGAAAAGAGAGGAGCAGTTGGATAGACAAAGGAGTTGATAACGATCAGGCTGGGAGGGTGAATAGCTGTTAATGGGAATTGTTAGTGACTAACAATAGGTAGTGTGCAATGGCAGGCTATGTGATGACAAGACCTGGTGTTTGGGTTAGGGGGCTAGGACATGGGGGAGTTTTGGCCTGAAAATTATTCAACTCAACTTATTGAGTCCAGAGGGCTGCAGGGTCCCCAAGCAGAAAATGAGGCGTTGTTCTTCCAGTTTGCGTTGAGCTTCACTGAACGCTACAGCAAGCCAGAGACAGAGATGTTGGCCAGGGAGCAGGGTGATGTGTTAAAATGGCAGGCAACTGAAAGCTTGTGGTTTTGTTTTGTGAGCAGAACATAGATGTTCTGCGAAGCGGTCATTCAGTCTAAGCTTTGTTTCCCCAATGTAGAGGAGACCACATTGTAAGCAGTGAATGCAATAGACTAGATTCTGGGAAGTACAGGTGAAGTGTTGCACCTGGTCTGACCTATCTCCCACACTTCCGCCCTCATCCCCTCTCTTCCCTCCTGCAACAGCGATAGGGTTCTCCTTGTCCTGCCCTGCCATCCCACCAGCATCCACATCTGGAAGAACATCAGATGCCATTTCCTCCACCTCCAGCGAGATGCCACCACCAGACACATATTCCCCTCCCCTCCCTTTTCCACCTTCTGAAGGGACTGTTCCCTCCGGGACACTCTGGTCCACTCTTCCTTCACTACCAACACCACCCCCCATAGCACCTTCCCCTACAATTGGTGAAGGTGCAACACCTGCCCATTTACGTCCTCCCTCCCCAGTATCCAAGGGCTCAAACGTACCTTCCAGGTGAAACAATACTTCACGTGCACTTCCCGGAATCTCGTCTACTGCATTCGCTGCTCACAATGTGGTCTCCTCTACATTGGGGAAATGAAACATAGACTGGGTGACCGCTTTGCAGGACATCCATGTTCTGCTCGCAAAAAAAACCTTGAGCTTCCAGTTGCCCGCCATTTTAACACACCACCCTGTTCCCTATTCAACATCCCTGTCAATGGCTTACTGCAGTATTCCAGCGAAGCTCAGTGCAAGCTAGAAGAACAACACCTTGTTCTCCATTTGGGGGCCCTGCAGCCCTCTGGACTCAATATCAAGTTCAATAATTTTAGGGCCTAAATTCTCCCCTGTGCTAGACCTCTACACCACACACCAGGCCTTGTTGTCAAATAGCCAGCCATTACACCCTACCTATTGTTAAACACTGACAGTCCCCATTAACAGCTATTTACCCTCCTAACCAGATCATTATCAACTCCTTTATCTATCCAACTGCTCTTCTGTCTCTTTGAGCTCTATCCTATCGTTTCCTCCCTAGCCCCTCCCCCTCCCTATTTTCTGCAATGTTAACTGATATTTTCCCAGCTACCATCAGTTCTAAGGAAGGGTCACTGGACCTGAAACGTTAACTCTGATTTTATTTTCTTCATAGATGCTGCCGGACCTGCTAAGCTTTGCCAGCAACTTCAGCTTTTGTTGCAGGTAAATGGGACAAGTTCAGTTTAGGTGACCTGGTCAGCATGGATGAGTTGGGCCAAAGGGCCTGTTTCCAAGCTATATGACTATTAGTGACTTTCTGCTTTACCACTCAGGTGGGCCATTTACAGTTGGCTGTCTGCAATGCCAGCCTTTGTCTTGATGCTAAATGCTTGTCCTCTTCCGGTAGGTTTGGTCACATGACTTCCACAATGTGGAACCCAACTGACTTTTCAACTATACAGTTTCAACGTAGTTAACAGATCAGCATTGCTCCATTATATATCTGATGACAAAATAAAAGGCCCTGACTCTAAGCTACAAAGAAAAATCCTTTCGCCTATGAAATAAACAGCCACCAACTTGTATTTGTTCACTATGCAAGTAAAAACCTCTTTTGTCAAAACAGTGGAACAGAAGTGACATTTCAGAAAAGCCTTCTCAGAAGACTTTCAAGGGGAAATTTTAAGAGAACAAATTTCCCACAACTCCTCAACTCCTGGCTAGCAAATGTACTCACGCCCCAGAAGGAATTCCAATTCGCCAGCTACAACTTTGGACTTTTGAATTCTAACTTGAAAGCAAGGACTGTATTTTATATTTAAAGAATTAATAATTGAATAAATTGTCTATTTGTTTTGGTTCTATAACTTCTTTAAATGGAGATTGTAGTGTGCTAATGTTGTGAGATTTCCCCCCAGATCTAAGAGAGCATGAAATACACGACATTTCTGGTTTAACTTTACTGCAGTTAAAGTCCATGATAAGTCTAAGCTCATGAGCAGAAAACTCGGGGAAATGTACCCTCACTGTTCTTAAAAAAGGAGGAAGAAAATATATATCAATCTGCTCACAGACATTTATGGACAATAGGGGGAGCAATTAACTTTAAAACCTGTAAACTGTAACATCAGGCTATCCGAGAGACATCTGTAAATGGAGGAAGACATCGAATCTAACTCTGCAGTAATGGATGTTTTGTCTTAAATTGAACAGGGCTGGGAAACATTGGGCCCATAATTTTACATAACAAGCAAATAATATTATGATCCCTGGAGTTCAATGCAATATGAGAGACAAACTCATTCCCTCTAAAAAGCCATTGGTAAATTTAGTTCAGTCAACAATCACTTTGTTATTGGTTAATCCTCAGAAGTAAAAGTTTATGTAAACATTGTTTTTAGAGCTTATATCCTTTTACCTGGCCTCATCTTTATGACATAAAACCAGAAAGTACTGGAAATAGCAGGTCAGGCAGTATCTGATGGCAGAATAAAACAAGTTAATGTTTCAGGTCTGTGACTTTTCATCAGAGCTTAGTTGGGTGAAAAATTCCCACACGGAGATGATTGTAGTCCTGATCGTGGGAACTAACTCTTTTGTAGAATTCTTCTATAGGTATATATACATTTAAACATGGATATTAAAAGTCACACTTATTCCATCCTCATATCCATTTTTCACCAGGATAGTAGCTGGATAAAGACCAGATTTACACTTGCCTGATCTTAATTTTCAGTTGTGACAGAAGCTACAGAAATTAGTTGAAACCAATTCATCTGGATATGGTACAATATGGCAGTTAGTACTGGCATTATGTTTACTAATGAGTTAGCAATAGATCCTATTGCAGGTGGCTTTCTTTCTCTGACCTTGCTTCTTGCTATTATATGTGAGTAGTATCAAGGCTGACTCCATTGGGTTTATATTTGCTGATGACATGCTGTCTCACATTGCAATGGAATTGCACTTGTTTGGCGACAAATTGCTGTGACCTATTGTGAAAGATGCTGTGGAAATGAAAGCTTTTCCTTTCTGGTTTATCTCACTGTTTATTTTCTTCACAATAGCTACACTTATGAGGTTGCACCAGTCTTTGTTCTCATGGAGGAAGTAGTTTTAAAGAAGATGAGGGAGCTTATAGGCTGGACAGAAGGAGATGGTATCTTCAGCCCTGGTAACAAACAAATCATTCCAGTATTTCAACTTGACTGAAATAAGTACCCTGCCGTTAATCTTTCCAAGGCATGTGATCACTGCCTGCCGTGATTATTTTGATTTGCAGCCTTTAAAGTAGATGACAACTTTATTTGTTGTGCTTTTCATTTATTACACATGCACAGAAGGCTGATGTTCAGCTCATTGTGGCTGTGCTGGCTTTTTGCATGAGATTTTGCTTTGAAATTTCAAGTATTCAAGTTTTGTTTCATTCATTCATGGGAAGAAGGCGTTGATGGCTAGGCCAGCATTTATTGCCCATCCCTAATTACCCAGCGAGCAGTCTGAGTCAACCACTGTGGATCTGGAGTCACATATAGGCCAGACCAGGTAAGGATAGCAGTTTCCTTCCCTAAAGGTTTTTCCAACTATCCACAATAGTTTTGTGGTCATCATTAGACTTTTATTTACAGATTTTTAAAAAAATTCAAATTCCACCATCTGTCGCAGCAGGATTTGAACCCTGGGTTCCAGGATTAATAGTCTAGCGATAGGTTGTTGGCTTGCTTGTTGAGCTGGCTGGTTGCAGTTCAGACGTTTTATCACCATGCTAGGTAACATCATCAGCGCAGCCTCCGATGAAGCAATGTTGTTCTACTCCGCTTAGTATTTATATGATCCGGTCTGTTGAGGTGTTTTGTGTCATTTGCGGTTCTTTTTTGCAAGGGTTTGTATTTGGAGTTTAATTCCACATGTTTATCGATTGCATTATGGGCGGAGAACCAGGCCTCTAGGAATTCCCGAGTGTGTGTATGGTTGGCCTGAGCTGCAATGGTCATGTCTTCCCAGTTAAATTGATGGGCTTCATTGTCCGAGTGTACTGAAATGAGGGAAAGTTTGTTGTGTCGTTTTGCTGCTAGCTAGTGTTCGTGTATCCTGATAGCTAGTTTCTTTCCTGCCTGACCGATGTAATGTTTTTGGCAGTTCTTGCATGGTATTTTGTACACAATGTCAGTCCTACATGTCATGTGTATGGGGTCTTTGTTCCTTGCTTTATCGTAGTGTGGCTGTGGGTTTGTGTGCTATCCTGATTCCTAGTGTTTGTAGGAGTCTCATTGTCAGTTCCGATACATTCTTGACATATGGTAGTGTGGCCAGTGTATTAGGGTGTGTTGTGTCCTCTTGGTGCTGTCTATCTAGTAGGCATCTGCGGATGAAGTTGGTGGGGTATCCATTGATAGCGAAGATCTTGTACAGATGCTCTTCCTCCTTCTTGTGAAGTTCAGGTGTGTTGCAGTGGGTTGCGGCTGGTTTGAACAGTGTCCCAACACAGCTTAGTTTGTGGCCGCTGGGTTGATTGCTGTGGAATTGGTCAGTAGAGTTGCCTTCCTGTATCCTGTGGTTTGGAATTTCCCCATTTGTCATTTGTTCTACCCTGACGTCTAGGAATGGAAGTTGATTGTTGTTTTCCTCTTCTCTTGTGAAGGGTTTGAGTGAAGATTTGTAGCTCGAGTGCTGGTTGTCAATGTTGGTAAGTTCGCTAAGCTGGGAGGTTCGATCTTGTGAATTTGATCCCGGTGAATATGTTGCTGATGAAGTGGTGTGTCTCTTCTAACTTAGTTCATTTAATGATGACAAATGTGTCGTTCAAGTATCATATTCACAGTTTTGGCTGTATGCGGGGGAGGGTCGTGCGTTCCAATCTTTGCTTGACTGCCTGTGCAATAAGTCCTGAGATGGGCGACCCCATAGGTGTGCCACTAATCTGTTCGTATACTTGACCATTAAAGGTGAAGTGTGTGGTTAGGCATAGGTCCAGTAGTCTGCGTTTATTGTCCTCGCTGATGGAGCTGTCGGTTGGCATTACTGTTTCCCCTAGTAATGTGGCCAGTGTTTCTTTGGCAAGTTACATTACATCAGCCAGACAGGAAGGAAACTAGCCATTAGGATACGTGAACATCAGCTAGCAGCAAAACGACATGATGAACTTTCCCTCATTTCAATACACTTGGACAACGAAGGCCGTCAATTTAACTGGGATGACGTGACCTTCGCAGCTCAAGCCAACCATTGACACAAATGGGAATTCCTATAGGCCTGGTTCTCCACCCATAATGCAACCAATAAACATGTGGAATTAGACCCCATATACAAACTCTTGTGAAAAAGAACCAGAAATGACACAAAACACCTCCACAGACTGGATCATATAAATACCAAGCTGAGTAGAACAACATTGCTTCATCGGAGGCTGCACTGATGATGTTACCTAGCGTGGTGACGAAACATCTGAACTATAACCAACCTCACCCACAACCCAAGCTACAAATCTTCGCAAGAACCTGAAGTCTAGTGATAATACTGTCAGGCCATTGTCTCTCCTTGAAGTCCGTGTAAAAGTTCTTGAAACTGTTGAGCAAGTACATAAGTTGAGAGGCCATAGGAGGGAGGGTTGGAAGGAAAATTTGGCTGAGTAGTTGAGATGGCAACAATGTACCAAATAACAATTTAATTATTTTTAATCAATCTGTTTGGACATGTTATGATGCACCTCTAGGGTACGTTGGACTCAAACCCAGGCTGTCTGGTCAGGAGCAAATAATTGCAGATGCTGGAATCTGTACTGAAAACAAAAGTTGCTGGAGCAAGCCCTCTCTCCATGGATGCTGCCTGACCTGCTGTAATCTCCAGCACTTTTGTTTTCTGTCTGGTCAGGAGGTAGGGGTCACTACTGCTGTACCATATAAGCCCTTATTAAGAACATAGTGGATTTGCGGATTCCTATCTTATTAAATACAAAACACGCAGATTTGTAAGTTGAGTAGATGAAAGTATAAAATTGTAAAGATATTGCTAATTAAGTGAATAGTCAGAATTATGGCAAATTGATTTCAGTGTAGGTAAACATGAAGCCATCCACTTTGGACCTAAATGTGATAGAACAGGGTAATCTCTGAATTATACAGTTAGGTATGAATCACAAGAGAGCATGAAGAAAACAAATCTTAGCCAACATTTTGTATCAAATCATCCTCAATTGAAAAAGAAATCAGGATTTACATCATGTAGAGCTGGATGAACACAGCAGGCCAAGGAGCATCAGAGGAGCAGGAAAGCTGAAGTTTCGGTTCGAGACCCTTCTCCAGCATCGGCAGTTCCTACTATCCCAGGATTTACATCAGCTGTGAATCTAAAGACAACATCAATGGCAATTAGCTTTAAATTGATCTCAGTTTGTCTATTATCTCCTGATGAATTTGTGGCATTAGAAAACCAGGTTCAAAGCTAAATGCTATATCTGTTTGTCAAGTGCAGCACAGTTGATTAAAATCTCCTTTATCTAAATAACCTTGATCAGCCCATGTATGAGAATTTGTTCCAGAACGTCAAACAAATCACTTTATTGACTGTAATCTAATGAGGAATTTGACTTTATCTTCTGCCAGTCTGTAGGTCTGCGTGCTGTTGTGCTGTGGTTAGCCATCTTCCTACTTCTGACTATCGCTTGGATTTTTGTCTGCAAGTTAGGTGTGCAGGGTCAAGACGATTCCTGGCTCCACAAACTTGACTTTTAGAAATGGCTGTCTGGGCATATGACTTTTGGCTTAAAAATGGTGTGTTAGAAGTCAGGGTGGGCGACCCAGTAAGTAGTGAGGTCGATGCCAGGTATGGAGGTGACTCGGTGGAAGGCCTGCCTCAAGGCTCCTGCCCTGTCCAAATTTTAAAAAGAATGAAACATAAAACAACACTCAAACTTCAAAACTACACACTCAACACATGCTAACCATGCCAATCCATGCCAACCCATGCAACTGCATTCCCTATACCTAACACATAACCCTTCATAGCCTCCATGTCAATCTGTGCCTATGTACCCATCCCATACTCTTCATGCTAACCCATGCACTTGTATTCAATCCCTCCATTGCCCCCATACCCTCCATGCCAACCTATATCCTTATACTCAACACCATGACCTCTTATAGTTCCTATACCAACAGGGTCAACTTGTTCTGACGCATATCCTCCATCACCCTTTGCCCTCACACTCACCATGCAAATTCATCCAATATCAACCATGGAGCCAATCTGAGATAAAAGAAAATAAAGCTTTTAGTATCTACTACACAGCCCAGTATATGTATGTATATATTTTTAGAAATTGTCATTGACAAAAACCCATTAACTATATTGAAATCTGTGCAAATACCTTTTTTATTTCTTTATTCTTTAGTGCAATGTGGATGTTGCTGGCAACACCAGCATTTTTGCCTCATCCCAATTGCCTTTCAACTGAGTGGCTTGCTAGGCCATTTTAGTGGGTAGGTAAAAGGTAACCACAATTCTGTGGGTCTGGAGTCACATTTAGACTCAACCAGGTAAAAATGGCAGATTTTCTTTGGGGCATTTAGATAACTTGACAATTTCCTTGTTCCACAGATATTATCTGCCTTTTATATATGTGCATGTCCACTCTTAAATCATTAGTGACATATCATTAGAGTCCCTAAAATGCAGAAAGAGGTCATTCAGCCTGTCAAGACTACACCGACCCTCCAAAGAGCATCTCAACCAGACTCATCCTATCCCCTTAACCCCCATGTAGGGTTTTTACCATTGACTAATCCACCAAACCCACACATTCCTGGACATTACAGAGGACAATTTTTATTTTGGTCAATCCACCTAACCTGCCTATCTTTGGGCTGTGGGAGGAAACCCACACAGACACGGCGAGAACTGCAAACTCCACACAAGCCCATGAAGCTGGTATCAAACCCAGGTCCGTGGCACTGAGAAGCAGCAGGCTAAGAAGGGAAGGATACAGTGAGTTAGATCTTTAGAGTGAAGAGTTGGTGTTGTTTCCAGACAAGATAAAGATCCAGAAGTGAGTGTTTAAGCTGAGTACATTGAAGTTCAAATGTATGGAAACTCCCAGGAAGAAGCTAGTTACAGTATAACAATTGAATCTCAAGTGACTTAAACCTATTGAGGTGTTAGATACAGAATTGCTAGTGAGTATTATATAAGTAGTGTTTTGGGTATTATACCAGAAGTGGTGTTTTGAAAGCATTTTTGTTTCTCTTCAATTTATAAAGGAATGTTTTGGCCTTAATGGTATTATACTTTCACTGTGTGAAACGGTGATTGAAGAAGGTAGCTCAGTACCACCTTCCTTAGGACAATGGGCAATTAGTGCTGGTTTAGCCATCAATTCTCAGTCCCATGAATGAATGAATTGTTTTAAAAAATTCAGTCTGTAGGTAAAGAGTGTCACTTACATATGAAGAGTTGTAACAGTGGCTATCAATTGTTAGTTCAGTTGGCTGCACAGCTGGAGTGTATTACTGAGTGATACCAATGCCTGTACCGGGTGCAATAGTATCCTGTATCTATGTCTTGCCACACAGTTTATGTAGAGTTATTTTTCTAATATATAATTTTCCAGTCAAATAATGATTTTTCATCATCTTCATCCTAAACAGGGGGCTCTGTTTCTAATATGTATGCTGTAAATTTAGCCCGGTACAAGTGCTGTCCAGAGTTAAAGGAGACTGGGCTTTCAGGTTCGCCCCCTTTGGCAATGTTCACATCTGAGGAGGTAGGTTGTACACATTAGAATCCTTTGAAATTGCCTGTATTAAGTGGTCTTGATGGATTATGTTGGCATTAGCATTCTAGGAACATTGGAGTCACTTACTCCAGTTTATTGAAAAAAAGTACACAGAGAATGAGTTAAGTTGTTTGGTAGGTGGGGTGAGGTGGGGGTTGGGGTGATAGGGGAGGGGGAGCATAGAAGCCACAGAGCCATAGAGGTCCACAGCAGAGAAAAGGGCCCTTTGGCCCATCACGTCTGCGCCAGTTAAAGACAGCCACCTAACTATTCTAATCCTGTTTTCTAGCACTTGATCCATAGCCTTGTATGCCTTGGCATCATAAGTGTACATCTAAATACTTCTTAAATGTTATGAGGGTTTCTGTCTCTACCATCCTTACAGGTAGTGAGTTTCAGATTATCACCAGAGAATCTTTCCTTACATCCCCTCTAAACCTTCTGCCCCTTACCTTAAATCTATGTCCCACGGTCATTGATCCCTCTGTCAAGGGGAAGTTTATTCCTGTCTACCCTATTTATGTCCCTCATAACTTTATGCATCTCAATCATGTCCCCCTCAGTTGCTTGTCCTCTAAGGAAAACCACCCCAATCTATCCAATCTCTCTTAATAATTAAAACTCTCCAACCCAGGCAACATACTGGTAAACCTTCTCTGTGCCCTCTCTAATGCAATCACATCTCTCCTATAATGTGGCTTCCAGAACTGCACACCGTATTAACTGTGGCCTAACCAACTTTTTATACAGTTTCAGTGTAACCTCCCTGCTCTTAAATTCTATGTCTTGGATTATAAAGGCAAGTATCTTATATGCCTCTTTAACCACTTTATCGACCTGTCCTGCAACCTTAATGGACGGTTGGAGATGCACATCAGTGTCCCTCTGATCCTCAGGATCCTACCATTCATATCTATTCACTTGCCTTGTTTGTCCTGCCCAAGTGCATCACCTCGCGTTTATCTAGATTGAATTCCATTTTCCATTGATCAGCCCATCTGATAAGCCCGTCTATATCCTCTTCTACGCTAAGGCTATCCTCCCCACTAATTACCAATTTTCATATCATCTGTGAACCTACTGATCAACCCTCCAATATGCAAGTTTAAATCATTTATATCACAAACACCAAGGCCCAACACTGCTCCCTGCAGAACCCCACTGGACACAGGTTTCCTGACACTCAGCCAATTCTAGATCCAACTTGCCAAATTTCCTTAGTTCCCATAGACTCTTACCTTCACTATCAGTCTTCCATGTAGGATATTATCAAAAATGTTGCTGAAGTCCCAAGTAGACCACGTAAAGTATATTGCCCTCATCTACAAACGTAGTAATCGCTTTGAAAAATTTGCGCTGTCCTTAATAAAAACACATTGACTGTTCTTGATTAATCCCTTCCTCTCCAAATGCAGATTTTTGCATTTGATAGTTTCTGCACCACTGAGGTTAAACTGACTATCCTGTAGTTTCCAGGTTTATCTCTTCTTGGCTGTCCTCCATTCCTCTGGAACCTCACCTTGGCCAGAGAGGAATTGAAAATTATTGCCAACACTGGTGCTATTTCCTCCCTTGCCTCACTCAACAGCCTAGGTTGCATTACATCTGGTCATAAATATTTATCTACTTTTAACCCTGCCAGACTGCTCAGAACCTCCTCTCTGTCTATGTTCATTTCTTTAAGTATATTGTCATCCTTCTCCCTATAACAACATTGTCTCAGTTGTCAGTCAACACCAAGACAAAGTATTCATTTAGAACCCTATTTACATCCTTTGGTTCCACACACAAATTACCATTATGATTGTTAATGGGGCCTACTCTTTCCCTAATTATCTCTCCTGTAGGGCTCCCTACATACTGGCTTAAAGAAAACTCTCCTGGATGCATTTTAAGAATTCCGTTCCCTCTAAACCTTTCACACTATGATTAACATTGGGTAAGTTGAAATCCCCTACTACATTATCTGCTGTTGTATTTCTCCTGGAATGTTTGGGGACCTACACTCCCAGCAATCTGATTGCTCCATTTTGATCTTCAAGTTCTACCCATATGACTTCACTTGAGGAGCCTTCTGAGATCTCATCTCTCCTTTCTACTGTAATTGATTCCCTGATCAACATCGTGACACCCCCTACCCTATATCCTGGAATATTGAACTGCAATCCCCTCTCAATCAGGTTTCAGTGATAGCAATTACAAGATACCCGGATGTTATAATTTGGACCCTCAACCCATCTATCTTTAGTCAGACTTCTTGCATTAAAATAAGTACCATCCAATGTTGCCAAACATCCTTGTGCTCTCACTGTCCTATACTTGACACCCTCATTGACTCCCTTGTTCTTTTTAAATTTTGGCTGTTCATCTCCCGCTGCTGAACCTTCTCTCAACCCACTTCCTGCCAATTTAGTTTAAACTGTCCCTGGTAACACTGGCAAACCTTCCTGCAATGATATTGGTCTCTTCCAGCTACAAACTACCACCCTCAGAAATGATACAAATGTCTAAGAAACCTAAAGATCTTCCCTATGCACCATCTCTCCAGCCATACATTCTTCTGGACTGACCACCTATTTCTATGCTGTCTAACATGTGGCGCCAAAAGTAATCCAGAGATTTTGGGTCCTGCTCCTTAATCTAATTCCTAGCTCCCTAAATTCACCTTCAGGACCTAATCCCTTTTTCTACCAGTGTCATTGGTGCAAATACATACCACAATCTCTGCCTCTCTGGCCTCCTCTTTCAGAATACCCTCCAGCCTTTCCATGGCATTCCTTACGCTACCACCAAGAGATGCAACATGCAATCCTGGAATGTATTTTGTGGCTTCAGAATTGGTATCTGTACCCCTTACAATTGAATCTCCTACCACTCTTGCCCTGCTGTTCTTCTTCCTCCTCTCTTGTGCAGCATACAATCCCATGGTGAAGTTGGCTACCATTTCTTTCCCCTACACAGTTATCTCCCCCAACAGTATCCAAAATGGTATTTCTGTTAGAAAGGGGTTGGTCACAGGGGATAATTTAACTACCTGCCTGGTGATCACCCATGCTGTTACTGCCTATTGAGTCTTTACCTGTGGTGTGACCACCTCACTAACTGTGCTGCCCTCGACACTCTCAGCGTCACGGATGTTTCACAGTGGAATCACGTGCAGCAGTTCCAGCTCCGAAATGCAGTGCGCCAGTAATTGCAGCTGGATACACAGTACTTCATTTGCATGGGCTCACCAGGACGTACTGAAGCTTCCATAATTTTCCACATAATACAGGAGAAATGCATCAAGGGTGTGAGCTCAGTCGTAACTTCTTTTGAGCCCCTTACATGTGCCCTTTTTAAACAAAAATGTTAATTTTGCTCATGTAAGAATATTAGTGACTTACTTGCTAATGCTAACTGCACTTTTCTAATTGGTATTACTTTGTTATATTGACCCTGACTTTCACTTATTCCTGTTGTTTCTTAGTTAATCACTTCTTCCAAAAAAATACATTTTTGGAATCACGAGCCAATTGACCCAAGGTGAATCTGAACTAGCAACATTGGAACATTAGGAACAGAAATAGTCTGTTTGGTGTTTCCAGCCTGTTTCACCATTTGATTGGATCATGACTAATCCTCAACTCTGTTTATCTGTTTTTAGCTCTATTTTATTTGATACCCTTAACAAAAATCTTATTGATCTCAGTTGAAAACTTCCAAGCACAAGGGAAAAAAAAAAGAGAGGGAATCAATATGGAAGTGCTTTTGTGCATGACAACATCACAGGAAATTATTTAGTCTTCTTCATGAATGAACAGTCATATACAAATGCTGAGATAACCTTGCCATTCAGTGAAAGGGTCAGGCACTCGTGTATTAAGAACGTGGGACAAAAGTACATTTTTATTAAGAAACAAATGTAAAGGACTATGGCCCTAGATGTATTTAACTTATAAACAGATAAACTTACAGCCTGGAAGGAGGTCATTCAGCCCATTATGTCTGCATTGGTTCTCTGTAAGAGTTGGCCTCATTCTATTCGCTTTTCCATATTCATCTATTTAAATGTTTCTTCTTCAAATAATTATCCACTTCTCTTTTAAAATCTATTATGGACTCTGCATCCACCATTATTTCTGGTAACACATTCTATCTCCTAACAGGTCATTGTGAAAGGGAAACAAACCTCCTAGTCTGCCCCTTCATCTAAATTTGGGCCCTCTCCTTAACCAACCAATGGAAATAGACTTAGTTCCCAATTTGCCATATGAAAAACTTTATAATTCTGAACATTCATATTGGGCCTTCTGAAAACCTTTGTGATTAAAAGGAAGCCGGATTTTCTAGTCACTTCTCATAAATAAAATCTGTCACTCCTTATATCATCTTAAGTGAATTTCTTCTGTACTATTTCCATATCCTTGATGCCACCAAGATTGCAAAGAGGAGTTTGGAGGACAAGATTAATCAAGAAGTACTTAAGATTTAATTGTCTGAAGTTTATGGGAGGTTAGGAAGATAAGAAGTTCCACAGTTCTGAAATGGTTGAAAAGAATTTAAGAGAAACAGACTGAGAGCTTTTCCATAACCTAGTTATTATTCTTACCCCTGCATCCAACTTTTACTCCACCTGCTATGCAAAACAAAACCTAGCTTGATTCTTGAACGCATTGTTACCCTAAGTACAGTGCCATTCCTGGTTGTGTATTTGTAATTGACAAACCTATTCTTGTAGAATCCACTATAAGGATAAGGGACATTATAAACTACATATGCTTACACCCACAACATTTTCTTCAGATTTCCAGCATTTTTTAAGAATATGGTGCAGAAATGTTATTTCACTTTTTAAGAACTTCAGTTCTGGCTCTTAAAAATTGAATCATGAAGCAATATGATGTAGCCTACGTTGATCAAAATGATTTAAGCTGTCTTTGCTTTTCCATAGAGTCACTACTCTGTGAAAAAAGCTGCTGCCTTCCTTGGAATTGGCATTCGAAATGTCTACATGGTGAAAGCTGACAAAAGGTAAGAAAAACTACTGTATAAACTGGAATAGAATGGTTGGGCTAATTACAGTTAATGGTGCCTGGCATTCTTGGTCCACCCTTATCATTAAGGCCAGTATATGCAAATAGGTTTCCTGGTTAAACATGGTAACTCAAGCATCAGCAATATATTCCATGATATGAAAAATTTTCATCATTTGTTTGTAAATGAGATGCTGCTTCTTGTTTAGTGTTAAAACAGGAATGAGCAGATGGAAGATGACCAAGTTACACTTTTGTTGTGGGATGTAGATTGATGCAGGATGTTCTATCCTGTTTATTCATGTTATATTTTTGTAACAGTTTGATAGAACTGAGTGGCTTGCTAGGCCATTTCAGAGAGCACTTAAGAGTCAAGCACATTGCTGTGGTCTCAGGTAACATATAGGATAAACCGAGTAAGGATAGCAGATACTCTTCATTGAAGGACATTGTTGAATCAGCTGGGCTTTTGCAATCATCTCATTTCATGGCCATCGTTATTAATATTAGCTCACTCACCAATGAATGATATTAGTTTGGCAAAACAATAAGGGAATTATTAATTACCCGTGGCAATCAATATCTGTTGCTATCTCTATCGCTAGGTTATCAGTCTGGAAAAGTCTCACACAGAAGGGGAAGGAAGGCCCCACTGAAGAGATCTGGGGATAATAGATCCAAAGACCTTTGATTGTCCCAGACATAGTACAGTTAACATATGCTTTTGCCAAAAGAATGAATGTATACTTAGCCCAGGCATAGCCATACTCAGCTGTCAGCCATGGCTCAGTGGAACCAGTCTTCATTCTGTGTCAAAAGTCAATGTGTTCAAGTATCACTCCATACTGCATAGTCCAATGTAATAATGAAGATGCTATGACTTTAACAGAAGGCATGCACTGGTAATCAAGCTCCACGACTCCACAAGTGCAAATGTTTTATTTAATCACCAAAGTAGTCAGTTTCCTTTTTTTGTCCTTCTATCCATAAAAAACCCAATAGGTAAACTGGTAAATAACTATGTCCCCTTAAGTCCAAGCGCACACATTCACAAAACAGACAATATAATACTGCTATGAAAAGCTAATGTGCTTTAAATAAAATGAAAAGGAGAAAACAACACAGTGGGCCAAGAGCCCAAGCTCAAAGGATAAAATGGACAGACTTCTCATTGTCCACTGATTTTCTGAGTTTGAAATACTGACAATCTTGGAATCAAAGAAATTTCAAATGTGATTTGAATTCAGTGGAGAATCAGTTGGAAATTCTGACATTTGACTTTATTAGGCTATCACAAGATTTCAGCCAAGAGAGAGAAATCTTTGCAGTTGCTTCTACCTCAGGGCTTTCTGTTGACTTTTCAGAAGGGATGGTATTTGGATGTCTTTCTTCACCTGACCCAACTAGCTATGCTGAAACAACAGCAACCCCAGTGCAAAGGCTGTTACTAGGCAATCTTTAGCATAGGACCTCCTCAAACAATTTGTCCAGCAATTCAGACAATAAAGCCAATCTCTTATCTCTGTTAAAAGCTTTGCTTGTCATCTCCCCATAAAGTCATTTGACTAATTGTAGGTGTACACACTTTTTAACTTTTGACTTTTTGGATTTAATAAGTCAGATGGTAAATCTTCTGCAACTCAGAAATGGTGCAAATGCTTCATTCAGAGTTATTTTTAAGGAATATCTATTTCAAACAGACGTTAAACCTGTTTCCTCTTTTATGTGGACATAAATCCTGTCACAGTATTTCAAATAAGGGATGATAGGTCCAGGACATTAGCTTTTAACAAATATCACTAATACAATTGATTCAATCATCATCTCATTGCTGGTTGTGTTACTTTGCTATGCTCAAATTGGCTGCCACACTCCCTTTTTATTATAACAGAACAAAAAGTTACTGAAGTTGCATAATTTAGAACACTTGAAAAGAGATTGTCGATAGTGAACTATTGAGTTGCTGGCTTTGATATTTTGAGTTCAGCTGAAAATGTCTCTTGCTGCTGTCTTGGTTGCTGACCTAATTATTTTCATAACAGTGTTTTAACGCATTTTGAGTAAAAATGTTGAAACTTATTTTGTTAAATGGTTGTTATTTGGAAACATTATTGAGCAACTCCTCCCACCCAATCTAAACAAAAGTCTGAAATTAAGACAACAGATATCATAATCCTACTTGCTTGCTTGATTTTCAGTGGCAGTGGACTTTGATCACATGATGATTTATGACTGATTTTGGAATATATTTGACTTTTTTTATATCAGAACAAAAATAAAGTAAATGTCATATGTATTGTAGATTTGATTATTCTAGTCAATCTAGAAAAATATAAAATAGAATGGTTTGATAGTTGTGTTTAGTCCCTATGGTTTATTATCCTACTCCTACAGCTGCTAGCTATTTTTACATATATTCGATATTGATATGCATCAGGTACAAATGATTTCATGTGCACTAAGTTATTTCTGGTGAGACTGTTGTCTGACATAAACAGCAGCTGCAGTACTCCTTACTGGGCCTTTGTTTATGCCTCTTAGCGCAGGTGTGCAGCTCTTAGAGTCAGTCACATGAGAAATGAAAGCCACTTTTATCTCCATTATGTATTCAACCACAACCATTTCTGACCAACAATTTGTACAAGTTGAGTGCATTCACAGGTGCATAAAAGCTATAGCTAAGCAAAAAAAAAGACTTTTCTTAACAGTTGTGGTTGAAATTTTATTTGACCTGTACAAAAAGGTATCAGAAGATGAAAACAGTCTCCTCCTCCTTTTCAAAACAAATTATCTTCCTGCATGATTGGTCTTTGCCAATTTTAAACACAGAGCATTTGCAAGTAAGCCATCCATGAATCGAAAGAGCAATATATTTTGTCGAAAAGAGCGTGGATTGATATTTATTGAGGTTGAATTAAGAGCTCATTTATATGATAAATAAATCCAACACCTTAAGGTAACACTGCTGCACAATTAAACCTCTTTTTATGTCCTACATGTTTACAAAAAAAAGCAAAATGCACACCCAATCTCCATATTACTTTTCTTCTTCTGTTATATGGAGAATTTTTTTTAATCTTAGTGTTTTAGTACATTTGTAGCAAAGTGAGGAGCTCTTGCTATGTTAACTCATTCAAATTCCAAAACAAAATCGAAGCGGAAACCATCAAGTTGTAAAAGTGATTATTTGTACAAGAGAGTTCTACTTTACCATTTTGGTAATTGCTTGGTTTTGTTGCTAGACTTGGAGATAGTTTAGAAACCTCTCCGTGCTTTATGTGGTGGAGGCTTCTTAACGGGGATACAGCAGCATAGGAAAATGCCAATATTTTTGTAAAGCAACATCTCATGTTTTTAATGTGTGAAGAAAGCTTTAGGAGGAGCTGCATATGAGGGTAAATGCTTTTTAGTTGACTTGTACTTAACGAGGAATCCATTCACATGCATAAACTGACTCATATATGCCATGCCTGAGATCAAGAGACTGCTTGTGATCTCTGAACCTTTCTGAAGAAGGGTCCAGACCCGAAACGTCAGCTTTCCTGTTCCTCTGATGCTGCCTGGCCTGCTGTGTTCATCCAGCTCTACGCCTTGTTATCTGAAACTCCATGCTAAAATGGGTCACTGCTTCTCACTGTGCCCTGTCCACATTTTCTGATTGGCCCAGTTTTTCTGGTAATGACAATCTATGGTGGTCCATTTTCAGTGAGTGTGACAGTCTATGTTTGGTCCATTTTCACACCTGGCACTCTCTGGAGCAGAAAGGACCCAGCATCAACTGGTCAACTTCTTTATGAACCTGTTTGTTTGTGCAAACTTAGGGGCTCTGTTCTAGTGTATATGCAGGTGCACTTCCTGTTTTTTTCCAACTAGTATGTTTAATAACTGGGAGGAGGACTGTGGAGCCATTCTACCCACCTGTCTCTACTTTCACCAACCCCCACACATTCTTTGTTTGAGGGCTCTTGTGGCATAGTGGTAGTGTCCCTTCATATCGGTTATTCTTTGTTTTTTTTTCCAGAGGAAAGATGATTCCAGAAGAGCTGGAGAAAGAAATCCAAAGAGCCAAGAAAGAAGTGAGTTACATAATGATCTAACATAAATTGAGTCATTGCTTGTAAGCAATATTTCTAAATATTTCTTTTGGAATAGAAGATTCGAACACATGGACAACTTAAAGATTATGAAGTAGGGATTCATTATTCCTACATCAGGTCATTGCAGGCATGAAGGGAAGTTAAAATTAAATACAGCATTTACATGGTACTAAGGCTGTGGTTTGCATCTAGTTGAAGAAATTCTTTGTCTGATCTGTCTCCCCATGACGCGTCCTTCCCCCAAAGTCACTCTTTTCTAAGGACAGTCTGTATGACTCCACCGATCGTCCTGTTCAGTGTCCTCCCTCACTGTTGCCAATTGCTGTTGGATTACTATGAGCCGTTTTGATCCCTAATTTAACAAAACATATAATTTAATTGGAGGCAGTTCAGAGAAGGTTCACTAGAATGATCCCTGGTATGGAAGGATTGTCTTATGAGCAAAAGCTAAACAGGTTGGGACTCTACTCACTGGAGTTTCAGAGAATGAAAGGTGACCTTCTGGAAAAATATAGAATTCTTAAGAGGCTTGACAGGGTAAGTGCTGTGAGGATGTTTCCCCTCATGGGAGAGCCTAGGACCAGAGGGCATAGTCTCAGCATAAAGGGGCACCGATTTAAGACTGAGATGAGGAGGAATTTCTTCTCTCAGCATTGTGAATCTTTGAACTTCTTGCCACAGAGCTGTGGGGGCAGAGTACTTGTGTATATTTAAGGCTGAGACAGTTTCTTGATTGGCAGGGGAATCAAGAGTTATGAGGAAAGGGCAGGAAAGTCGATGCGAGGAATGTTGGATCGGCCATGATCCTGTTGAATGGTGGAGCAGGTTCCAGGGGGGTTGAATGGTCTACTGCTGTTCCTATTCCTTGTGGTCTTAGCATGTTATGATGCCAGCACAATTGTTCCAGCAGCCCTGCTCAGTGCCATTCCCTTACCTCAAGGGGATAAATGGCCTAATCCTGGTCATATGCTCCTATTACGATCATGAAACATCTATGAAAAGGATCAACTGGGATCTTACTCTTTAGGATTGATCAATGCAGAAGAATTTTGGATCTGCAATGATAGGTATGAGCAATTTGTAATGTCTCAATGGGCCAACGTTGAAATTATGGTGATCGGACAGATTGGTAGGACGGGAAGATTATGTCCAGTAGCTTTGTTGCTAAAACCTCTGCCATTAAAAAAAATCTGGAGGAAGATAAAGCATTGTTAATTGTGTATTCAGTTGTTATGATCTGGAATGTACTACCAGAAAGGTGGTAGAAGAAAATTCAGTGTTATTCAGAATTGAAAAATTCGTGAAAAGGGAAAAATTGCAGGCTTTTTGGGAAAGTGCTGGTAAATACTGGACAGATCTATCAAAGAGTCCAGCATCAGTGTGATGGACCAAATGGCCTCCTCCTGTACTGTAAGCATCTATGATACATCACTTAACTGGAGTTCAATTCACAGATATCTGTTTACTCATATCAATTCCAGTTTTTATCTTTTATTTTCAAATGGTTGAACATTTAAATTCCTACATCTAATGTCTCCCCAAGTCACAGGAATATGACAGGTGATGCTTTTGCCAATCAGTGTCCACTTGCTAATGAATCAGTACTGACCCAGTATAAATGTTGGTTTTTCTCTTGAATTGATATTCATATGAACTGTCCTGATGAGTACTCAATATAAAGCTTCAACAAAATTTGTCTTTTTTTCCCAGCGATACTCAAATTCTCTACTACCAGATGACTGTAGTTGGTTATATTATGATTCACCTCAATGCTGTTCACTTTTTGGGATTGCGCTGCATGAACAATCATTGCTGCATTTGTCTGGACATGAAGGATCAATGCAGTTCTAATTAAATTCATTATACAAGATGTGTTTCTGAGGCATTTTGAAGAAATTTTGCATCTGAAGTTCTGCAAGCGTTCTCCAATACTTCCCAACATAGTGCTTACGGGGAGCAGTGATATCCCTAGAGAAATAAGGGGCTCTTGTGCAACATGGTAACATATGATTTTTGCTTGTCTACTTCCAGACTCATTGTGGGAAAGCAATGGTGAACCTTGATGGAATTTACAGGCCATTCTAAAGCACCATGTAAATGCAAGGCTTTCTTTTTTCTTCGGGTTATCACAGATAATACATGTTGAATGAATGTGTTTTTTCTCTTTGCGGTCACTCCACAGGGGGCTTTGCCTTTTATAGTCGTTGCCACTGCAGGAACCACAGTTTTGGGAGCATTTGACCCCTTAAATGAAATTGCAGACATTTGTGAAGCACGTGGGATCTGGTTCCACGTTGATGTGAGTGTCCAGTGCATTTGTACTGACAATTAGGAGATCGACAAACATATGTATGTTGTTTCCTTTTTTTTGTAAGCATGATACAGATGTGTCATTTCCCCTTTTGTTACTTGTACGGCTGTCAACGTTTCAACTTAAATAACATGAGGTTTTGGGGAAAGAAAGAAGGAGAAGCTTTTTTATGTGAGGTAAATTTCATTTGAGAAGGAGCATTGGAATTGTGTAGATGTTATTGGAGTATTTGTTTTTTAGTTTGGAAGTATGAAAAAGAAATTAATGTTTTTCAACCAAATGAAGAGAATAGGCTTTATGGACCAGCTTTCTCCCAATCTGTATGTGCCTATGAAATTGGACTTGACCTCATTCAATTCCTACAAAATGAATTTACAAAGAATTGTAATACCAGCTGCTTTCAGTTATGTACTTTTTTCTACTGTCTGAAAACCTTACCAGCATAGAAAATACAAAGTCATATGGCCACAAAGTAAACTTAGAAAATCTGTTGCAGTGAAAATGTCTGGAAAATCCATCATAAAGGTCACTAGGAGCAGACATGTCTTCAAAGCTTTAAAATCCTCAACAATAGACATCTATTTTAGTAACACTTCAATTATTAAGAATGTATGAGTTGCTGAGCAGTTTTTAAGATTATAATATGTATGTACTCTGAACTCATAAAAATACAGATTTATGGTAGTGAGTGCAAGGTTGTAACTTTTCACACTGTCTCTACCTTCATTACGATTGCCTATGTTATAATGTGCTGTGTATCATTGGTTTTCTCCAGGCATCATGGGGTGGTGGTGCATTGATATCCAGAAAACATCGTTCTCTCCTGAATGGTATCCACAGGTAAATGCAACTTGAACATTCAGGCAGTACTAAAATTTATGATGGAACTCTGTAATAGATGAGTTGCATGAGTTATCCTTCCTGGTAGAACCACCCCTCCCCCTCTGAAAACCACCTCATCCCCTCTCAGTCTTAAGCATGCATGCGCACATCAGTTTCAGCAGTAATTCTATGATGTTAACTACTTTTGAGCTTTTGGAATTGAGGTGACTGAAAGTAATAAAGTCATTTTGGCCCTCTTTGCCCTGCTAAACCCAACATGCTTACATGTTGAGCGGCACGGTGGCTCAGTGGTTAGCACTGCTGCCTCACAGTGTCAAAGACCTGGGTTTGATTCCACCCTCGGGTGACTGTCTGTTTGGAGTTCACAAATTCTCCCCATGTCTACATGAAATTCCTCCGCCTGCTCTGGTTTCCTTCCATA